CCCCTCGCCGGGTGTGATGATGGCCCCCAGGGGACTTTCAGCCTAGTCCGGAGGCTTTGTTTGGGTTATTGCAAGGGGGCGGGGCGGGGCGGGTAGGGTACCATTGGCATCTGGAGGGCGGAGGCCAGGGATGCTGCTCCAGGACCCCCATGCACAACCTTCGCAACAAAGAGTTATCCAGCCCCAAACGTCAGTAGGGCTGAGCTTAGGAAACCCTGCCCTAGGGCCTTACAGCCTCTGGGGCCCTGAATGAACTGTGGAAATTGTTTAAAAGTCAGCTGAGTCATGGATAGGGCCCCCAAGTGACAAGCCATGTTTAAAGTGACTGGAGTCGCCAAAAACTCTGCAGCCAAATGAGCTGAGCGAGCCCATTGCACACAGCGTGAACCTGCTTTCCCCGCTTGGGGAGCAGCTGGCTGGATGGGACTCAGGAAAATCCAGTCACAGCCAACAATTACACGTTCATTAGGAAGTTCAAAAAAAGAAAAGGGAATGGGATGGCTTTGCCATTCAGTAGCTGTATTATGCTCTGTAAAAGGCCTCAAAGGCAATCTTTGTGCTTTTTTTTCCTCCTCCTCAGACAAGAAAAGCACCTCTAGAGCTCAGGTTTGAGTTGAAACCAGGTTTGAGGCTCACCTTTCCTCACTGATTTAAGATTCCTGTGTGACCAGGTGAGGGCTGTGTGGACCTGTGACAACAGGTTCCACCTGCCTCCACTGGGCAGAGAAACTGCTAATGGGCTTTCTTGAGCTCAGATCGGAAACACACAGAGTCACTAAGAATGAGAGAATCTTTTTTTTTTTTAATATATTTTTACTGATTTCAGAGAGGAAGGGAGAAGGAGAGAGAGATAGAAACATCAATGATCAGAGAGAATCATTGATCAGCTGCCTCCCACACGCCGCCCCCCACTGGGGATCGAGCCTCCAACCCCAGCATGTGCTCCTGACAGGAATCGAACCCCGGACCCTTCAGTCCACAGGCCGACGCTTTATCCACTGAGCCAAACCGGTTAGGGCAAGAATGAGAGAATCTTAAGAAAAATTTCTTATGTTTGATGCATTATAATCAAGGAAAAGATAGTAAGGTGTGTGTGGCTATATGTATGTAAATAATTCAATAAATACAGTTACATGAAAATAAATACACATTAAATATGTAAATAACAAAATGTGTAAGAGTACAGAAATGTATTTGCTCACATTATATACTAAAAATGTTGGGATTTTATATATAAGTATAAATATATAATTTTTACATGTATATGAAGTATGACAAGTCATCCAACTAAAGACTAGCAGGAATATTTAGCAACATACCTCAGTCCTGTTGAGTTTGACTTCTAAAGCTCTATAAATCCTCCACAAAGATTTAAAATATGAGGGCATCAGGGAAACAAAAAGATTTTAACTTTTTTATATTAGTAACAGAAATTTAAATTGACCAGCAAACAAATAAATTTTGGGCAAGTGGGATTTTTTCTCAATGAGATTTAAAATCATTTGGAGGAATATTAAGCAACAACTTAGAGATTGAAGGGTAGGGTACCAGTTTCCAAAGACTGTCCTCCACAACTTGCCTTCTAATAGAAATTAACTTTGTTTCTTGAAACTTTTCTGAAATAACAGTCTGGTGATTCATATTGAAGAGAAGCATTTTAAGTAATTTTATATTCATTTGTTGGGCTTTAATAATTGTGTGTGTGTATGTGTGTATACACACACACACATACACACACACACACACACACGTGCGTGTGCATATGCGTATCTGTGCCTTTTTTATTAGCTTTCCTATATCATTCTTGAGGGGAATATTTGCTTGTCATGCAACAGATCCTTTTTGAGTGTGCAGTTTAGGGGACCAGCCATCCTCATTTATTCAGCTCTAAGGGATTTGCCAGGATATAGGACATTTAGTGTTCAAATCAGGACAGTCATAGGCAAACCAGGATGGTTCATCTCCATGAGCGAGGCCCTGGGCCAGATGCAGAGGGACCCTGGAGAACCAAGTAGACCTTTTCTTGCCTCCATGGAATTTACATTCTAAACAATTAATTACATAAGTGATGTGGGAGCTTGGCACAGAGGACTCAACCTGAGGGAACAAGGAAGTCATTTTGAGAAGGCCGGATATTTAGCTTGAGAGCTAAAGTTGGGGCTGGATGTTGCTAGTCATAGAACTAGAATAGAGTGAAGGTGTGGGAGTACATTTAAGAGAGCACTTTGGGCAGAGAGAACTGCATGAAAACAACCCCAAACGCAGGAGAGCCTGGGGTTCTCCATAAACTGGGAAGACAGGGATGGCTGAAGCCAAGACAACAACCTAGGGAAGGAGTGTGAGCCAGGCTGGACAGTTGGCAGGCAGGACCAGATCAGGCCTTACTTTGGACTCTTCTAAACCCAGTGAGCAGACACTGAAGAGGATGTGTGGTTAGCACTTGGTTTTTGCATGCCAGTTAAAATGGACTTCAGGATTAAGAATGAGGACTTAAGAGGGAAGATAGAAGGTGATAGGAAGAAGTTTAGGATTAAGATGGTTGTACCCCAGGCCTGGATAATGGCTGTGGAGGAGGAAAGAAGTAGAAAAAAAAAGAGACCTTAGAGTTTAGAACTAAGAGAATATTATGATGCTTCCATTCATGCATGCATTTGTCGGGTAGCACAGAGCATTTACTATGCTCCTAGCTCCTGTCCATGCAGACCTGCAGGCATCACCCTCTCCCAGGTCCATGTTTTCACCCCACTTTGCCACTCACAGGTCCGCTCCTCCACATCCGAAAGAAAGTCAGGCCTGGGTATATGTAGGACTCCTCTGTCCACCACGATGGCCGTTAGCCACGTGTCGCCATTTCAATTAAACCAATGAAAAATACAACTAAATACTCATTTTCTCAGTCCCAATGACCATATTTCAAGTGATCAGTAGCCACCTGTGGCTAGTGGCTGCCACACTGGGCAGAGCAGAATTAAAGAACATTTCTGTCACTGACAGTTCTGTTAGGCAACACTGGTGTGAAGAGGCCCTTTCTCTGTGACCTTCCCAGCACCAACATATCCAAGAGGAGGTAGGAGTCTCTGAATCTGTAACCTGAGCAGAGCTCCCTTCTGCCCTCACGTGAACTCCAACTGCCAAAAGACCTTGACGGGGGACTTGGGGTCTGAAAGTGTACCAGGAAACTTGTCAGCTTCCTCTCCTCTTGGGGCTCTGTGAGCTGGGTGGATCCTACCTCTTCTCTTTGTCCTCAGCTCCGTGACTGTGACTCTTCCTAACTACAAATTGGGTCCCTGGTGGGGAGAACGGAGCCATCCTCCACCTGCAGCAGGTAAGGAAATTCTGCCACAGTTGTGTGGGTCTGCTGGACTCACACCAAGGCTCAGGGAGGGTTTGATGTGAGAGGCTGTATTAGTTTCCTATAGCTGCTGTAAAATTATAAACTTTGTGGCTTAATGCATTGCAAATTTATTTTCCTGTGGTTCTGGAGGTCAGAAATCCTAAATGAGTTGGCAGGACTGCATTCCTTCTGGAGTCTGTAGGGGAGAATCCATTCCCTTGCCTTGATCTTCATATAGAGGCTGCCTGCATTCTTTCCTTGGCTTAATGCTTCTCTTTTCATCTTCAGAGCTAGCAGTGTAGCATCTTCCAGTCTCTATCTCTCTCTGACCTCTCTTTTCATCATCACATCTCTTTTGCAGATCCTGACCCTCCTGCTTCTCTTTTATAAGGACCCTTGTGATGACATTGGACCCACCTGGATAATTCAGGATCCTCTCCCCATCTCAAGATCTTTACCTTGATCACATCTGTAAAATTCTTTGCCTTATAAGGTAGCACATTCACAGGTTCTGCGAAGTGGACATCTTTGGAGCAGGAGTGTTAACCTGCCTATCATACAGGCCCAGGAGTCATCGACTCCCCACAACTCCTTTTCACCTGGCCCACACTCACTCTTAGTGTCTTATGTTCCCCTCTCTGTACACACTCACACCCTTTATTGCTTTCATCCTTTAGGTGCAGGGAGGATACACATAGAGACCTCAAGAAGCTAGTTTTATGGAATTACATTTTATTCTGTTACTACATTCTATATATGCTGCTTGGTATTTTGATTTTTTTTCACTTACATTTATTGAAGATAAGAATTTATCAATACATAGAAATTGTCTTTTTCTTTTTTTGGCTGCATGTTTCTTCATGATGTGGGTATCCCATAGTTTATTGAACTGATTCCCTATTGATGGTCATTTGTGTTGTTTCCAATCCTTTGATATTACGGTATAATAAGGCCACAGTGAATACTCGCGCTGTTCTGTGCTGATCTCAGCCTATTAATAACCAATGTTGAAATAGATCCCTAGAAGTTCCAGACCAGCCCTTGTGGTTCTGATTATGATTGCCCTTCACCAATAACTATGAGGAAACTGAAAAGATACAGGTTAGCAACTTACAAGACCTAGAAAGCACACCTTAGCCCACACAGGAATGTCATAGGTAGAGAGAGTTCATGGGCCTAGGGTTCTGCTTTTATTGGGATGTAGGGTGGGGGCCTAAGGTTCATGGGTTCACTCTTTATTGGTGAATTTAAAACATAAGAACAAGAATTTGAAGTGCAGGAAGAGAAAACAAACAGGTAGTCCAAATGGTCAGTAATTAAAATCAATCAAGATCTCTAAAATAAAGAGCCTCTGTATCGGAGGCAGCTGGCCTCTTTATGTAGCCCTGAGACTGCCAGATGTGTTTTTTAGAGACAGCTGTATTTGAACTGGATGCCTCTTTGAAATGGATGTTGTCTTGGAATCAAAGCTTAAGTCAGGCATTTGCATTACAAAAAAAGAAAAAAATGTCAGGGTTTACACTAAACTCACCCAGGTCTTTTAGTATGTGTGTTACCGTTGCAATAGATCCCTAGAAGTTCCATTGACAGTGAAAGAGTAAATGTTTTTGATTTTGCTTGACATTGACAAATTCCTTCCATAGGAGTTGTACCCCAGCAATGTATGAGAGTGCATTTCCATACAGCTTTGCCAATAAAAGAAGTGGCCCGCCATGTCTTTGTTGATCTGACTGATAAGAACTGGTATCAGTGTAGTTGCAGTCTACATCTCTGTGAATAAGATTTTTGGTGGTTCTACCAGTTGGATTGGTAGTGGTAGAAACAAATTATACTGTGTTGAGGAGTGAGTGGGACATGAGGAAATGAGACAGAGAGTGAAAACACTGAGAGGCAGAGATGGGGCAGTAACTGGAAAGAAAACTGCTATTAGACGTATTTCATTCTAAATACTGCATTGGGTTTAATGGTGAGTAGAGTGGGAGAGCTTGGAGGGAAGGGTAGACAAGAGGTCATCAATAGTGTACAGCTCCTAAGGGCAGGTGGGATGGGACACAACAAAGCTGTAGACTCTGGCCTTGTAAAGGGGAGACAGCTCCTGGTTTCTAACAGAAGAGCGGCAGGAAACGACGTTCAGATTGTCATTTTGACATCAGGAAGGTAGAGTCCTCTCATGATGATCACTTTGAGAAGTAGGATGTGGGGCCATCTGCTGAAGGTCAGGGTATATTCCTTACCTGTTGCTGAGAAGCTTAGTCACTTAAAATAATAGTAGTCATTTCCTGTCTCACAGTTTTTGTAGTTCAGGAATTCATCTTAGGTTCAAGGTTCTGGCTCAGGGACTTCGGTGATTTCTTTTTCTTTTTTTCTGAAGAATTCTTTTTTTTTAATACTCTATTTTTTTCTTTATTGATTAATGTATTACATATGTGTCCTTATCCCCCCCATTGCCCCCCAACCCCCTCTTTCGTGATTTCTTAGCCAGGTATCAGCTGAAACTGCAGTCATCTGAAGGCTTGACGGGTGCTGAAAGGTTCGCTTTCAAGGTGGTTCACGCACATGCTGGCATTTGTGCTGGCTGTTGGAGAGAGGCCTCAGTTCCTCTCCAAGTATCTCTCACGACAGGACCACGTGCGTGTCCTTGCAGCATGGCTCCCCCTTGAGCAGTAGTTTTCAACCTTCTGGCCCTTTAAATACAGTTCCTCATGTTGTGACCCAACCATAAAATTATTTTCGTTGCTACTTCATAACTGTAATGTTGCTACTGTTATGAATCGTAATGTAAATATCTGATATGCAGGATGGTCTTAGGCGACACCTGTGAAAGGGTCGTTCGACCGCCAAAGGGGTCGCGACCCACAGGTTGAGAACCACTGCTTAGAGTAACGTGCAAGAGACCAAGGTGGAAACTCCTGTGCCTTTTAGGACGCAGACTTAGAAGTCACCTCCACAGTATTTTATTAGTCACACAGCTCAGCCCTAGTTAAATGCAGGCGTGACTATCAGGAGGCTTGAATCATTAAGGCTATATAGGAAGCTGATTGCCATAGAGGGAAAAGGTGAGATTTAAAGAGATTAGAAAAGGTTTGATTAGTAGGAAGCTCCATTGACTTACAGGATTGTCCTGCAGGGTTGAGGGCTCTTTTCATGTTGGTGATCATGTTTGTCTAAAGGTGACAGTAGTTCAGTTCTCCTGCAGGCTGGTCTGCCCAAGTGCTGCCACAGAGCAGGCAGATGATTGGAATCATGTGGTCAGAGTTCTGCCGGAGCACTGTGAAGGTGGGGGATAGGGATAAGGAACTTTGTGGAAATGAGGGACATGGTAATCCAGGCTGGGTAAGCATGACATGAGGAGAGAAGGTGACTGATGGGTAGCAAGAAGGTAGGACAGTAGGTGGACTGAGTTCTTTATGTAGTAGAAGACACATGTAGTGAAAGGAAAAAATGAGTGAACAAAGTAAAAGTTTGGGAGGTTGTGTTCAGAGAGAGGGAAATTTCTGAACTGTTGTTCTGGATAGTGAAACAGTGTCAGGTGATGAGCAAGCCCAGGGTGGTGCCCATAGAAATGTGTGGCAAAGATGGAGTGAAGCAAACTCATAACACAGTGAGTCTGAGATCATCTGAGTGAGGTGGGACTGGAGGCTGAAAGAATAATGGAAGTCAGGTGCCCAAGTCTCAAGTGAATAGGGTTTGAAGGTGGGAATGTGATTGTGACAACCACATGGATGAGACTAAGTGAATCTGAGAATTTAAAAGGAGGTGGAGCAGCCCCTGGCTGGTGTGGCTCAGTTGGTTGGAGAGTTGTCCCGTGCACTGGAGGGTCACGGGTTTGATTCTTGGTCAGAGCACATACCCAGGTTTCGGGTTCTATCCCTAGTCAGAACGCATATGGAAGGCAACTGATCAATGTATCTGTCTCACATCCATGTTCCTCTCTGTCTCTCTTTTCCTCTCTCTCTGAAATAAAATTTAAAAAAGTATATTGCCTCGGGTGAGGATTAAAATAAGTAAATAATAAAATGGGGTGGAGCAGTAATGTACTGGTCTTACTATGCTGGACAGAAGACAAGTTTTGCCATCACACAGCCCTCGGTTTATCAGCTGCTAGACAAAATAAAGGCCCAATAGCAGACATTGCATTTTGAAGGAGAACATGATGGGCAGGCTAAGATAGATTTGTCCTCAGTAACCTAGAGAAAGAGAGAAGCTATGAATTTTTCGTATTATCTTATTTATTCCAGAGTGCATTGTGGGAGTAAGAAGAGAAGCTTCCTGGTTTTCCCAGTGCCCTGTTGTTTAGGAAAATTTACTGGCTCATAGGATCGTGTCATGGTTCTATTCCCCACCTCTGGTAAGTTGTGGGGTCCCAGCAGCTCTCAGAGGCCAGGTGTTAAAGGCCCCTGTACCACCGAGGAGGTAGGGGAGGGGCTGAGCAGGTGAGGCAGGAGTGGAGCTCAGAGGTCACTAGTACCTAATTAGGTTTTGGGTATTTGGGATTTCAGTAGTTTGTGTGACTGTGGAGATGTCACCTGTGTGGTAAATGTGCAGGAGCTTTTGAATTTTATCTCTAATTCTTTTTATAAACCTGATTAAATGACAATGATGTCCCTAGGATTTTCAAATTCCTCATCTGTGAAGCATGAATAATCTCTTCCTCAAGTGCAGTGCGACTCTTGAGCTCTGTTTTCTGGCCCTGGTGAGACAGGGCTCTGCTCTGGTTTTTTAATGAAAGGGTGTGTGTGTGTGTGTGTGTGTGTGTGTGTGTGTGTGTGTGTGTTTATTCACAGGTAGGAGGGGAGTTTGTGAGTGTTAGAGTATAGAGTACACCTGGATTCTTGTGACTTATTTATGACTCATTTCTACTTCTCCAGTTCAGTCTCCCCTGTACCCAACACCACCTCAAAAAGGATGCACAGAGGAGGAAGGGGTTGTTAATGGCTTCCTGACAAGCTGGTTACCGGTGAGTCATATGTTTCTTTTTCCAAATCATTATTTTTGGCCACAGTTGAACTTGTTATCTTCAATGACCTGAAGCCTCACAGCCAAACCAGATCTTTAGGCATCCAGGATCTCTGAGCATCTAATGGAGGGTGAGGGGCTGCCCAAACAAGGTCAGTATATGTCAGTATTTACTACATTGCAAAGTTTCCTGCAGGGTCACTCTCTCATTTTCTGCTGATGGTTTTTAAGGGGACACTAAGGAAAGACATGACTGTTTCCTAAACTCAAGCAATTGATGGTGGCCATTAGGAAATCATTCATATGTTTACCAAGTATTTCCGATTTCTGCAATGTTAAGCAAATTAGAGTAGAGCCCAGAACTCTGATATACAAAATACACCTTCTGCTTTGAATTCCCGGTCCCCACTCTTGCCATCTTGGCCCTTTCCCTATATAACGTCAGTGGTCCTTGGCTAAGCCATAATGTTTTCAATGACTTTAGGACATGGTGACCTTCAAGGATGTGGCCATAGAGTTTACCCAAGAAGAGTGGGCATTGCTGGACCCTTCTCAAAAAACACTGTACAAAGATGTGATGCTGGAGAACTGCAGGAACCTGGCATCGCTTGGTAAGCCTGACACCATTCCTGCATTTATTTCTTAACTCAAGCAACAAGTCTTTCCTTTTTTTTTAAATTGAGGCAACATTCATATAACATAAAATTTACTATCATAACCATTTTAAAGTATACAATTCAGTGGCTTTGATGTATTCACAGTGTTGTGCAGCCATCAGCATTAATTGTCTTCACCACTAAAAGAAACTCACACCCATTAAGTGCCAATACTCATTACATTCCCCATTCCCAACTGCTGGCAGCCACTAATTTGCTTTCTGTCTCTATGAATTTGCCTATTTTAGAACATTTTATATCATCGGATCATAAAATATGTGATCTTTGTGTCTGGCTTCTTTCACACAGTATAATGTATAAAGGTTTGGCTGTGTTATAGTATGTATCTCAGTTATTTATGCCTTTGTATGAGTGAATAATATTTCATTTTGTGGGTATACAGTTTTTTGTTTATCCATTCAATGGTTGATAAACATTTGGGTTGTTTCCACATAATGGGCTGTTATAAATAATACTGCTATGCATTTTTGTATACAAGTTTTTATTTAAACCTATGTTTTCACGTCTCTTGGGTATATATCTAGGAATGGAATGCTGGGTCATATATTACTATGTTTAGCTTACTAAGAAACAGCCAAACTGTTTCTCCAGCATCTGTAGCAATATAGGAGTTCAGATTTCTCCACATCTTCCCCAACATTTGTTTTTGTTTTGTTATTATAGCCATTCATTTATTATAGTATGAAGTGGCATCTTGTTTTGATTTGCATTTTGTCCTAACTGATGACCTTGAACATTTTTCCGTCTCCTTGTTAACTATTTGTATATCTTCTTTGAAGAAATGTTGTATTCAAGTCCTTTTAAATTTGGTTATTTATCTTTTTGTTCTTGGGTTGTAAAAGTTCATTACATATCCTGAATACTATACCCTTATTCAGAATATGATTTGCAAATAATTTCTCCCCTTCTGTGGTGTCTTTCCATTTTCTTCTTTTAATTTAATTTTTTAAATTTAAGTATAGTTGGCATGTAATATTATATTGCTTATATTAGTTTTAGGGCACAGTATAATGATTTGATATTTCTATACCTTACAGTGTGATCACCCCACTAATTCTAGTAATAATCTGTCACCGTACAAACATATCACAATATTATTGGCTGTATTCTCCTTTTTCATCCATCCTCCCAACCCCCTCCCTTCTGGCAACCATCCCTTTGGTTTATGTTTCTGTGAGTCTGTTTTTGTTTTGTTTTGTTTGTTCCTTTGTTTTTGAAATTCCATGTAGAAGTGTAACAAAGTGGTATTTGCCTTTCTCTGCCTGACTTATTTCATTTAGCATAATATCCTCTAGAGCAGTGGTTCTCAACCTTCTGGCCCTTTAAATACAGTTCCTCATGTTGTAACCCAACCATACAATTATTTTCGTTGCTACTTCATAACTGTAATGTTGCTACTGTTATGAATCGTAATGTAAATATCTGATATGCAGGATGGTCTTAGGCGACCCCTGTGAAAGGGTCGTTCGACCACCAAAGGGATCGCAACCCACAGGTTGAGAACTGCTGCTCTAGAGTCATCCATGTTGTCACAAATGGCAAGATTTCATTCTTTTTTATTGCTGCGTAATATTCCATTGTATATATGCACCTCATTTTTGTTATCCATTCATCTGTTGATGGACGCCTAGGTTGCTTCCATATCGTGACTATTGTAAATAATGCAGCAGTGGGCACAGGGATACATGTATCTTTTCAAATTAGTGTTTTTGGTTTCTTTGGGTAAATACCCAGAAGTGGAATTGCTGGGTTGTATATCTATTTTTAGATTTTTGAGGATTCTTCATACTATTTTCCATAGGGGCTGCATCAGTTTGCTGTCCCAGCAAGTGCACAAAAGGGTCCAGGACTTTTGTTTGTTGGGAGTATTTTTATTACTGCTTTGATCTCATTAGCTGTAATCAGTCTGCTCAGATTTTCTGTTTCTTTTGATTCAGTTTTAGAAGATTAGTATACTAGAGGCCCAGTGCATGAAGTTCGTGCACGGGTAGGGTCCCTAGGCCTGGCTGACGATCAGGGCTGTTCGGGGCCTTCCTTCCCTGACTGCTGGCTGCCAGCCAGGTGCTTCCTTCCCCAGCTGCGGGCTGCCGTCCAGGGCCCTCCTTCCTTCCGCACCATCCCCTCGTGGTCAGTGCATGTCATTGCGAATGATCAAACTCCCAGTCGAACTCCCAAGGGGACACTTTGCATATTAGCCTTTTATATATATGGATGGGATGATGCTTCAACCACCTGAGCCACTTGGCCAGGGCTTTAAGTTAATTTTTACATGGTTTGGAGGAAGTGTCAACTCCACTGTTTTTGCAAAAGTTGCCCCAAAACTTTTGAAGAAGAGACTATTCTTTTCCTCATTGTAGTTTTTCACACCCTTGTCAAAAATTATTTGACCATAGTCATATGAGTTTTTGTACACTCAGTTCTATTCCATTGATATATATGTCTGTCCTTGTGCTAGTACCTCCTGTCTTCATGACCATTTCTTTGTAATGTAAACTAAGTTTTGATATCAGGAAGCATGAGTCTTTTTTCTTTTTCAAAACTGTTTTGTCTGTTAAGGATCCCTTGCAATTTCATATAAATTTTAAGATCAGCTTGTCCATTTTTGCAAAAAAAAAAAAAGCTGTTGGAATTTTTATAGTGATTACATTGAATCTGTAGATCGCTGTAATTGGGTTAGTATTGTCATCTTAACAATATTAAGTTTTCCAATTACATATCCTTTTATTATTCATCTGTAATAAGATTCTATTATGGTCAGATAAGATACTTTGTATGATTTCTGTGTTATTGTTTATTCAGACTTGTTTTGTGTCCTAACATATGGTCTCTTCTGAAGAATGTTCCATATACACTTGAGATGAATATGTATTCTGTTGTTGGATGGATTGTTTTATATGTCTACTAGAGGCCCAGTGCATGAAATTCGTGCACTTGGGGTGGGGGTGTCCCTCAGCCCGGCCTGCACCCTCTCGCAGTCTGGGACCCTTCCGGGGATGAGCACCTGCTGGCTTAGGTCTGTTCCCCAAGGGATTTGGACTAAGCTGGCAATCAGACATCCCTCTGGCAGCCGGGGAGGTGGGAGTGCCTGACCACCAGGGGGCAGCTCCTGTGTTGAGGGTCTGCCCCTGGTGGTCAGTGCATGTCATAGTGACCAGTCATTCTGCCGTTCGGTCGATTTGCATATCAGCCTTTGATTATATAGGATTAGGTGTGGTTAGTGTATAGGATTGGCTAAGTCCTCTGTTTCCTTGTTGGTCTTCTAACTAGTTTCTGCCTATTATTCAATGTGGTATGTTGAAGTCTGCAACTATTACTGTAGTCTTTATTTCTCCCTTCAGTTCTGTCAATTTTGAATTTATATATTTTTGAACTCTGTTGTTAGGTACATATATGTTTCTATTATACTTTCTTGATGAAGTTACCTTTTTATTATTAAGTAATATCTTTCTTTGTGTCTTATAGCAATTTTTGTCTTAAAGTCTATTTTGCCTGAAATTAATATAGCTACACAATCTCTCTTTTATCTGCTGTTTTCATGGAATAAATTTTCCCAGCAGTTGACTTTCAACCAAGTAATGTCTTTAGATGTAAAGTGAGTGTCCTATAGATAGCATATAATTGGATGATTGTTTTGTCCACTCTGCCAAAATCTGCCTTTTAGTTGGACACAGATTAATCCATTTACATGTAGGATAATCCTATATAATAAAAGTGTAATATTCTAAGTGTCCGACCAGTTGCTATGATACACACTGACCACAAGGGGGAAGACGTTCTGACCAGTAGGTTAGCTTGCTGCTGAGATCCAGCTGATGGGCACTGGGCAAGAGGGCCCCAATTACCGGCCAGGTTAAGGGACCCCACCTGTGCACAAATTCGTGCACTGGGCCTGTAGTTACTGATGAAGAAGAACCTGTTTATGCCATTTTGTTATTTGTGTTCTATTTGTTCCTCAATTCCTTCATTATTATTTACTTTTTGTGTTCTATATTTTCTAGTGGGCCATTTTAATTCCCTGCTCATTTTTTGTTCAGTTTAGTTTTATTTTTTTATTGAATTTATTGGGGTGACATTGGTATTTTTTTTTAGTTATTTTTTAGTGGCTGTCCTGGGGATTATAATTAACATTTTAATTTATAATTATTTTGATTTAATACCAACTTTGTTCAATAGCATACCAAAGTTTTGTTCCTATATAGCTATACCGTGCACACCCCCTCCCTCACTTTATAATGCTTTATCACCCCTTATATATTATACATCGTGTGGCTATTAACATAGATTTACAATTATTGGTTTAAGCATTTCTCTCTCTTTTTTTTAATCCTGACTCCTGACCCAAGGATATTTGGTTTTTAGAGTGAGTGGAAGGGGAAGAGACAGAAAGAGAGAGAAACATCGATGTGAGAGAGACACATCAATTGGTTACCTCTTGCATGCTCCCCAACCAGGGCCTGGGCCAGAGAGGTACATGCCCTTGACTGGAATCGAACCCAGGACCCTTCAGTCCACAGGCCAACACTCTATCCACTGAGCCAAACTGGCTAGGGCATCATTTCTCTTTTAAGTCATATAGGAAAAAAGAGTTACAGAACAGAAATGAAGGCGTTATAAACCCCCCTCCCCCCAAAAAAACAATTGTCATTGACAATTATATTTACCTATGTATTTTCCTTATCAGTGTTGTTTATTTCTTTTTGTGGATTTTAGTTCATATTCATTGTCCTTTTATTTCAGTCTGAAAGAGTCCCATTAGCATTTCTTGTAAAGTAGATACATTACTGCTGGGAGTGATCTCTGTCTCTTTCAGTTTAACCTATCTGGGGTTTTTCAATCTTGGTAGTGTATATTTATGTTTTTTCATCAAGTTTGATTAAGTCTTTAGCCATTATCTCTTCAAATATTCTTTTCTACTTCATTCTCTTCTCTACTTAAGGAACCTCCATTATGTGTATGTTGATATGTTTGATGGTATCCCACAGGTCATTTAGGCTCTGTTCATTTTTTTTTTTCTATTTTTCAGAGTAGGTGATATACTGTAAATTTTCCTATTTTGTGGTCATTCATTCTTTAGTCTGCCCGCTGTTGAACTCCTCTTCTTAATGTTTTGTTTGTGTTATTGTACTTTTCAACTGCAAAATATCTATGTAGTTTTTTAAAATATTTTCTGTCTTTAACATGTTTTCTACTTGATCAGTATTTGTTCTTATTGTTTCCTTTAGTTCTTTGTACATGGTTTCATTTAGGTCTTTAAGCATATTTAAAATAGGTGTTTTAAATTCTTTATCTAGCCCTGGCCGGTATGGCTCAGTTGCTTGAGCATCATCCTGTGCACCAAAAGGTCTGGTTTGATTCCAGTCAGGGCACATACCCAGGTTATGGGAGTCAACCAAGCAATGTTTCTCTCACACATTGATACTTCTCTCTCCTGCCTGCCCTCCCTTCCTCCCTCTCCTTTCCTCTCTCTCTAAAATCAATAAAGTATATTTTTAAAAATTCTCTATCTACTAAGCTTAATGTTTAGGTTTCCTCAGGGACCGTTTCTATATTTTTTCCTATAATGGGCCATAAATTTATTTCTTTGCCTGCCTCATAATTTTACTGGCTGAAAATTGGACATTTGGGATACTATCATATGGCAATTCTAGAATCAGCTTTTTCTCATCCCCAGGGTTTGTTTTTGCTGTATGTTTAGTGATGTTTCTGAACTAATATGGTAATGTCTGTATTTGTTGTGTGTGGCTACTGAAGACTCTGCTATGTTGAAAACTTGTATACCTGGAACATAAACAAACAAATGTCTCCTAGTCTCTGCAGATGGGCTCTGAGTATATAATGGGGTTTACACTCGCCATAGCCTTCACAGCCTGCTTATGAATAAAATCTAAAAGTCAGCCAAAGCTGAGGACTTAGTGCTTTTTCAGGTCTTTTCTGAGCATGTGCCCACCCCGAGTATGCACGGGGCTACCAGATCAAAAGTGTCAATGTCAAAAATGGCCAAAACTTGTAAAGAATTTTTATAAGAGTTCATTTGAGCAAAACTGATGACAATTACCAGGAACCAAAATCTCAAATGCTCTGGAGAATAGCAGTTTTTCAGTTTCTTTTATGCATTTGAAATTAAGGAGGGAACACAAGGAAGAGTACAGGAAAATGGAAGCAGGCAAGGTGTAGGTCAGATTACAGGATGGTTAAGATTATGCGCTTTCTTTAGGGTGGTCATGCCTTCGGGGAGTAAGCTGTGTTAATTTAGATCAGTAGTTCTCAACCTGTGGGTCGCGACCCCTTTGGGGGTCGAACGACCCTTTCACAGGGGTCGCCTAAATACATCCTGCATATCAGATATGTACATTATGATTCATAACAGTAGCAAAATTACAGTTATGAAGTAGCAACAAAAATAATTTTATGGTTGGGGGTTATCACAACATGAGGAACTGTATTAAAGGGTCGTGGCATTAGGAAGGTTGAGAACCACTGATTTAGATGCTCAAGACCAATGGGTAGGGCTTGCTTAAAAACCTCTCACTAAAGAAGTTATGTTAAAAAAAAAAAGAAGTTATGTTGTGCCCTGGCTAGTGTTGCTTAGTTGGTTGGGCATTGTCCCGTGCACCAGGGGGTTCTCAGTTCTATTTCTGGTCAAAGGCATCTACGCTCAGGTTGTGGGCTTGATCCCAGTAGGGGTCATCATGCAGGAGGCAGCCAATTGATGTTGCACTCTCACATCGACATTTCTCTCCTCCCTTCCTCTCGCTAAAAATCAATAAACTATTCTAAAAAACAAAGTTGTGTTGTATGACTACCCACCATGACCTGTCCAATTAGGAATTTGTGATCTATTTTTTAAAATATAGAAACATCAATGATAAGAAAATTGTTGATAGGCTGCCTCCTGCATGCCCCCTATGGGGGATTGAGCCCGCAACCGGGCATGTGCCCGCCCTTGACCAGAATCGAACCCAAGACCCTTCAGTCCTCAGGCTGACGCTCTATCCACTGAGCCAAACCAGCTAGGGCAGGAATTTATTATTTATTACAGCACCCTTTTTTCAACTACAAAAGGAATATGAAAGAGCCTTTTAAAAAATTCCCCAAAACATATTGCTCCACACTTTTCCTCCCAAGTTTTCGGTCAGTCTTCTGTTTTCTTCTAGTTTTCCCTCACTTCAGGTGGTGGTGGCTGATATATTTGCCTTTAAATGTCTTTAGCATAGCTCAGCCCTTGGAGAGTTTGGGATTAGATAAATGAAGGCAAGCCCTTTGAGCCAAACCTTCAAAAAGGTCTAAACAAACAATCACAGTTCCTTGAGATAATGGTCCATTCTGCTCCCTCCAATATTAGGAATGTGGGCTGTTGTCTTCAAGGTCACAGCCAAAGCATGAAATAGAGAATTAATCAAGGATCGGTTAAAATGTCAGCTGTATTTTTCCCTTGATTAAGCATTTTCCGCCGAAACCGGTTTGGCTCAGTGGATAGAGCGTCAGCCTGCCGACTGAGAGGTCCCAGGTTCGATTCCGGTCAAGGGCATGTACCTGGGTTGCGGGCACATCCCCAGTAGGAGATGTGCAGGAGGCAGCTGATCGATGTTTCTCTCTCATCAATGTTTCTAACTCTCTATCTCTCTCCCTTCCTCTCTGTAAAAAATCAATAAAATATATTTTTTTTAAAAAAGCATTTTCCCAGTTGCTATAATCTTTTCATAAGTCTGCAGAATTCTAATAAAGTTAACTCTTAAAAGTTTTTGCCCGTTTATTCATTGCTTTTGTATAGGGATGGGCTTTTGGAGTTTAGTATTTCTTGTTTCCAATGTCATGACTTCTCACTAGAATTTCTTACACACTTCTGTGTTCCTGGGTCTGTGCTAGGTTTAGGAGTACAGTGATGAATGAGACAAACATGTTCTCCACCCTCACAGAGCTTTGTGACTGATGCCTACCCTATGAACTGAGTATATGTTTCTTACCCGGACTTTATATCTCCATGGTTAAAAGCTTTAGAGCTTCTGATGTAATTTAGACTTTGACATGGGCTTTGGGACTATAGTTGACCCTTGAATAACAGGTTTGAACTGTATGGGTCCATTTATACATAGGTATACATGGATTTTTTTCAATAATTATACAGTTGATCCATCATACCCCAGGCTTCACATTTGAAGATTAAGCCAACCACCAATCAAAAACAGTATTTTTGATCCATGGGTTGGGAATCTGTGAATGTAGAAAGCCAACTGTATGCCTTGTTCTATGCCATTTTATATAAAGGACTTGAGCATCTGTGGATTTTGGTATCCACAGGAGGTCCAATCTCCCACGGATACCAAGGGACAACTAAAGTTTTGGGGGAATCGAATTAAATGCAGAGTTTTGACTGTGCAGGTAGTCAGTACCCCTAATTCCCTCATTCAAGGGTCAACCCCTAGATATTTATGCCCTGTCACCTAGATATTGAATAAGGATACTTATATTTTTGTTCCTTGGGAGTTATAGTATTCATTAGAATTTAGGTACAATTATTCCACTACTCTAAAAGTCTCACTTGGCCTCTAGAATTGTTGGCTTCAGTTTCATGGAGTTGCTTGTCACCTGCACAGTCCCCCTTCAACATGTCTTTTCTCCATAATTAGGGTATCATGTTGATAAACTCAGCCTGATCTCTCAGTTGGAGCAAGAAGACAAGGTGATGACAGAGGAAAGAGGAATTCTCCCAGGCATTTGTTCAGGTGAGCACCAAGGGGATATGACTCTTTGTGAGGAATAGCTGTGGCCAGTGATTTGGGACATGGAAGTATTACATTAAGAAATATCAGAGAACTTTGTAAAATGTCCCTTTTTTTCTGATGGAGATGGCCAAGAACATTTGGTATGAGCATTTTTTCCCTTTTAACTTGCTGTTCAGCATCTTATACTTTACTTTGGACTCAGAGGCTTTTGTCTCCCCTTGTTTTTGTTTTAAGTCTTTTTTAACTTTTTGTCCAATTTCTTTCTACTTTACATCCCTGATAATTCCTTCTTTTATAAATCTGACAAATCTTAATCCTTCTAGAATCCTTTAAAACCTACAATTTGCATACTCATCCCTTTCACTGCAAATCTCCTAAAAAACCCTAATCTCTCAGTCTACCTTTACTCATGTGCATACTTTACTATTTCTTTTCTCTACCAACTTAAATTCCTTTTCAATTTGTTTCAGATGTGGAGACTATACTTAAAGCCAAATGGTTAACACCTAAGAAGCATGTTTTTAGGAAAAAACGTTCTAATGGTGTAAAAGCGGTAAGACTAACATGGTGATTCTTGGTTTTTCACAGTAGAAGAATTCTCTAAGTTAGAACAGCCACAAGATAAAAAGGAGTATCATTTACACAAGATAAAATGGTATCTCTGAAGAGATAATGTGGAAAAATTGTGAATTTGGAGAAAATTATAAGTTAGCTTCAAACTAGTTTTTTCACTGAGAGTTTCCAGAAGTAAATTATTTCCTTAAATGTGACTAAGATATTGTCTGTTGAATTATAAAGTGGTCTTAAATTTATCAAAAAATGCTCTTGTATCGTAAGGACTTGTATCTTTAACTTCTAAGAGCTCAAACTGGGCAGATGTCTTATACAAGCACTGAAAATAGTGAAAACATCAATTATATTAATTAGCATAATTCCTGGGAGAATTTGTATGACAACACTGAATATTAAAAATATTATGAATTATAGTTATTTATCTCTATCAACAGGAAAGAAATCATGTTGGAATGAAACTTAATGAATGTAATCAGTGTTTTAAAGTCTTCAGCACAAAATCTAACCTTACTCAGCACAAGAGAATTCATACTGGAGAAAAACCCTATGACTGTAATCAGTGTGGAAAATCTTTCAGCAGTAGATCTTACCTTACTATTCATAAGAGAATACATAATGGGGAGAAACCTTATGAATGCAATGACTGTGGGAAAGCCTTCAACGATCCCTCATCCCTTAGACTGCATGTAAGAATTCACACTGGAGAAAAACCTTATGAATGTAACCAGTGTTTTCATGTTTTCCGTACTAGTTGTAACCTCAAAAGCCACAAGAGAATTCATACGAGAGAGAATCATCATGAATGTAATCTGTGTGGAAAGGCCTTCAGCACGAGGTCCTCTCTTACTGGGCACAATAGTATCCATACAGGGGAGAAGCCTTATGAGTGCCATGATTGTGGGAAAACCTTCAGAAAGAGCTCCTATCTGACACAGCATATGAGAACTCATACTGGAGAAAAACCCTATATGTGTAATCAGTGTGGCAAATCCTTCAGCAGTAGCTTTTCTCTTACTGTGCACAAAAGAATTCATACTGGAGAGAAACCCTATGAATGCAGTAACTGTGGAAAAGCTTTTAATAATCTCTCAGCTGTTAAGAAACATGTGAGAACTCACACTGGGGAAAAACCCTATGAATGTAACCATTGTGGAAAGTCTTTCACCACTAATTCTTACCTTTCTGTGCATAAGAAAATACATAATAGGTGGATTTGAATACAATAACTGGGAAAGCATTCACTGATTTTTTAATCCCTCAGACAACTTGTGGTAATTCCTGCCAGGTGTTAGTTACCTGTTGCTGCCTAGCCAATTTCCCTCCAGAACAGTGGCTTCAAGCAACAAACACTTATTATCTCACAATTTCTGAAAGTCAGAAGTTCATAGACGGCTTAATTTTGTAGTTCTGGCTCAGTGTCTCTCATGAGGGTGTAGTCAAGATTGTCATCAGAAGCTACAATCATCTGTATTTTTACTGAAGAGTCTTTTCTAAAATGGCTGACTCACATGCCTGGAAAGTTAGTGTTGGATGTTGCCAGGGAACCTTCATTTCCTCACCATGTGGGATTTTCTGTGGGCCTGAGCATTTTTGTGTAGCATCAGGTTCCCTCCAAAGCATTTAATCTGAGGGAGAGCTAATGCCGAAGCCATGTTGTCTTTTATAATCTAGCCTTGGAAGGGCATGTTATCACTTCCATATTGTATTGGACACACAGACCAATCCTGATACAATGTGGAAGAAGACTACACAAGGAGTGTATACCAGGAGAGAGATCCTTGGGAAACATCTGCGAAGGTTGTCATGAAATCAGTGAAGAAAGGCCTTCAGCTTTCCATCGATTTGATATGAAGTATCATTGAGCAACTCTCAGGTTAATTCACTCTGGAGAAAAACCTTATGAGTACAATCTTTGTGGAAAGCTTTCAGCTCAAACTCACCTTAATGTGCCCAGTACACGTGATAAATCAGTACAGAGAAATACTCATATAAGGAATGTGAAAACCCCACTGCACAAACATTCACATTACTGAGCAAACGATGGTGAGGTACTCTGAATGCAACAGGAAAGCCTTAATGTTCTCTCAGTTTTTTGTTTTGTTTTGTTTTTGTTTTTTCTCTCAGTTTTTGAGAGATGTGAGATTACATTTAACAGGACTTTCTGGGGAGAAAGTCCTGTTAAATGTAATCAATACTGGAAAGTCTTCCATTTTTCCCATTCTTAGGAAACTGAGAACTCACTGCACAGAATATAAAGATTGAGGGAATGCCTTTAATGATAGCTTTTACATTAGGAAAAATATTAAATACTCCTTGGATGAAAAACCTGTCAGTGTATTAATTTTGGAAGATCTTTCCATGATTCCTCTTTGTTGACTTGTAAGGATTCACAGTAGAGGGAGACCCTAGGAATGTAATCGGTACAAGGGTGGCTCAGCCTCATCTCTTCACTGAGTAGCCACAAAATAATTTAAACGGAATGGAAAATGTAAACCTTAAGAGTGTGGTATATTACCTTTAACAGTGTCTAATCCTTAGGTTGGTCCATTATTTATTTATTTTCAGTTGTTATGTTTTAGTATAAACATTTATGTCAATAGCTATACCCTAAAATAAACCTGAAGTTTTATTCCATAGTTTGGTATATAATATTTACTCTTTGAAGATATCAATACATGACAAAGGTATGTCTGAATATCTCCTGAGTGATTTCATTTATCATAATGAAACATTATATGTGCTATATACTTTTCTTCTCACTTAATGGCATTTTTGTCAAGTGGAGTTTATGATGTTGATTCTTTTTTATATTTATATCCTAATATAGCAGTTACTTTTAGCTTCTTTTCCAATGCCCATTCTCCCCTACTTACTCACTTAAAGAAATATTTTGTTTAAGTTGTCAGGCAGTATTGAAAATACTCAGTATGTAAAGCTTTCCTGAAGCCCAAGGATGTGTTGACCTCCTCTGCTGGCCATAAGTAGGTAGAAGTCACTGGGTGGAACATCATCTGGCTTGTTTGCCTCACTATATTCTATTCACCTTTATTTTTCCTTGAAAGTGGGCTCAAAGCCTAGAATTGGAAAAGCTATATTTTGATTATGATGATTTAAAAAATCACAATGATATGGGCTCCCCAGAAACTTCTGATTGGCTGTATCAACTCTAGATTGCTTGTTCTTAGGCTTCTCCTTAAATTATTAAAAGTAACCTCTGAGTGATTAGAGCCCAAGTGATTTTGGGGATTTAGTTTTGAGGAGGTGTGTTAATATCCAGCTGAATGCAATATTTTACTGGTAAACCAATATATTAGTCAAATTTTATAAATGTTTCATATTTGTTTAAAAACATTGTACATTCTGTAATTTTTAAAGATAGAGTATACTAGGGGCCCAGTGCGCGAATTCATACACCTTTAAAAGAACTGTGGACTGCGAGGCTGCAGTAAGCACAGAGGCGGGTCTCGGCCCACCCTCCGCAACCCCCAGTCACCTGTCTGCCTGCAGCCCCACTCCCGCTGCTGCCACTCCCACCCGCTGAAGGCACAATTGTGGCCAGCACCAGTAGCGGGTGCAAGCGGGGCCAACGCTGTAAACGGGTGTGAGCAGCAGTTGCTGCCCCGATCGCCCCTCAGGAGCAGAGGGAGTTGGAGAAGCGATCAGGGCTGGCAGCTGCTTGCTCCCGCTGATGGTGCCAAGCAATTGGGACCAGCACCGGGCACTGGCAGTGGATGCGAACAACAGCTCCAGCACCCGCAGTGGGTACAAGCGGGGCCGTCGCTGGCAGTGGGTGCAAGCGCCGGGTGGGACCACAGCGCACGGGAGCAAAGAATTCTCAGTAACCACCAGAGGCTTGCCCTGATGACAGTGACCGGTGTCCCACCTTGGTCTGGCACCCCTGCTCTCCTGCTCCACCATCCCACCGCAGCCGACGCCCGCCATGTTCTGTGCACTCCCCATGGTGGTCAGTGCACATCATATCAACTGGTTGTTCGGTTCCACCATTCAGTCTATTTGCATATTAGCCTTTTATTATATAGGATGCCCATTAACTCAAGCTAATTTTTTTATATAAATTAGTATGCACATTCAAAGTTTTTTCCTCAAACTTATTTATATTTAGTAATAGATGTGTATTCAAGTCTTCCATTTTGGTTATAAATTAACATTCATTTTTGTAATTTTTATTTACATATGTTGATGCAGTGTAACTAAGCAACAGGATTATTATTTTCTTGTGAATTTCTTCTTTTTATGTAGGCGCCATATTTTTATAGCCAAGTATTTCAATACATTAATAAATGATCAGTCACTTATATAGCTCTTTCTATATACTGGACACTCTTCTGAATGCCTTATGAATATTAACTTATTGAGTACTCAATGTAAGCTTCAAAAGTATGTGCTATTAATATCCCCATTTTACAGATGAGAAAACTGGTATGGTACACTTAATGTTACTTGCCTGAGTTACTGGCTAGTAAATGATAGAGCCCAGATTTGAACCCAGACAGTCTGTGCACTTAACCACTGCCTCTTTACTGAATACTATAGAGGCCCAGTGCATGAAATTCTTGCACTCCAGGGGGTCCCTCAGCCCAGCCTGCGCTCTCTCGCAGTCCGGGAGCCCTTGGGGGATGTCCAACTGCCGCGGAGGCGGGAGAGGCTCCCACCACTGCCACTACACTCGCCAGCTGTGAGCCCGGCTTCTGGCTGAGCAGCGCTCCCCTTATGGGAGCACACTGACCACCAGGGTGGGGCAGCTGCGTTGAGTGTCTGGTGGTCAGTGCATGTCATAGCGACCAGTAGTCCCGCCGTTCAGTTGATTTGCATATTAGCCTTTTATTATATCGGATGGCTGACCTTATTTTAAAAGAGGGAAGGTCATTTGGCATTTGACTTGTCAAGGACATACATACAGTGGGGCCTTGACTTACGAGTGTCCCAACTAACGAGTTTTTTGAGATACCAGCTGTCTCTCAGCCGATTTTTTGCATTGAGTCGATAGAGTAATATGAGTTAATGAGCTCCTTAACAAGCTCGGTCTCGGAACGAATTAAACTCATAAGTCAAGGCCCCACTGTACATACATACATATCTATATATATAAAAAACCAGCGACCATAACACCGGAATGACCAGAATGACCAGTCGCTATGATGCCCACTATGGCCAGCGAACCAGCCCAATCGGGGCCAGCCTGCCCCTGATTGCACTCTCCCACCCCGATCAAGGGCAGGGCTGGCTGGCCAAATGCTCCCCCATTCCCCCGGCCAGCCCCGCCCCTGATCACACCCCTCCCACTCCAATAAGGGGTGGGGCTGGCCAGCCAACCGCCTGCAGCCCCTCCCCCGGCTGGCCCCACCCCTGATTGCCCCCCCCCCGCCCCAATATGGGGCAGGGCTGGCCAGCCAACCGCCTGCAGCCCCTCCCCCGGCTGGCCCCACCCCTGATTGCCCCCCCCCCGCCCCAATATGGGGCAGGGCTGGCCAGCCAACCGCCTGCAGCCCCTCCCCCGGCTGGCCCCACCCCTGATTGCCCCCCCCCCGCCCCAATATGGGGCAGGGCTGGCCAGCCAACCGCCTGCAGCCCCTCCCCCGGCTGGCCCCACCCCTGATTGCCCCCCCCCCGCCCCAATATGGGGCAGGGCTGGCCAGCCAACCGCCTGCAGCCCCTCCCCCGGCTGGCCCCACCCCTGATTGCCCCCCCCCCGCCCCAATATGGGGCAGGGCTGGCCAGCCAACCGCCTGCAGCCCCTCCCCCCAACTGGCCCAGCCCTGATCCACCCCAATTGGATCCGGCCGGCCCGGCCCTCCCCCATGCACGAATTCGTGCACTGGGCCTCTAGTGTGTGTGTGTTGTGTGTGTGTGTATATATATGTAAAATAAAATGCCTCCCAAAATTTTGACCCAACTGTTCTCTCTTTGTGTCTATTTATATATGTATGTTTAAATGTAAGCTAATTTTCTACCTCCAGATGGTATTGTTAAAATTAATTTAAAGGCAAGTACTAGCCCTAACTGGTTTGGCTCAGTGGATAGAGGATTGGCCTGCGGACTCAAGGGTCCCAGGTTCGATTCCAGTCAAGGGCATGTACCTTGGTTTCGGCCACATCCCCAGTGGGGAATGTGCAGGAGGCAGCTGATTGATGTTTCTCTCTCATCGATGTTTTTAACTCTCTATCCCTCTCCCTTCCTCTCTGTAAAAAATCAATAAAATATATTAAAAAAAATAAAGGCAAGCACTAGTAAGGATTGGGTATTCTAAAATACAGAAATGAGCTCAAATGCTTTTTCAAGTTTACATGATCTAAAATTAATCTTTAATAAATAAAAGTTAGTTTAAATTTTTGTTACTTTAAATTTTTGAATCATTAATATTTTACCCAGGTCTTACAAAAAATAAATCTATAATCATTGACTTTGATGTCTATGAAATATGTTTCTAGAGGTTATAAAATGTCCAATATAAAGAATGCTAATTACTTACGTCTTAGTTTTCCTTAGAAATTGAGGTTTTATGGGTTAAAAATCTCAATACTACATGTAGAAGTAACATTGCAGTATTGCAGAAGGACCTCTTGGAACCACTCAAAAGATTTGTCTTTTATGTTAAATTTTATGGGAAGCATTGTAAAATAAGTGATTAAAAAAAAAAACTTTTAAGGTATATTGTATGGGTAAACAATGATTGTAAATTAAACAAACAGGGCTATAAGAAACCCAAGACAACCACTTGGTTCTTTAATGATCCCTGGCTGCCCAAATTTCAGTTTTTGCATCCCTTCATGCATTATAGTGCATTTAAGCTGACTTAAATTAGATGGAACTTATGAGCTGAAATTATTGAAAGGAGACATCTTACATTATTGCCAGTGTTTGATAGAGTCACTTT